CTCTTTTTTTTCTCCTAATATAAAAATAAACAATAATAATAAATAATCAGCTCGGGTTCATGAGTGATAGATTCTGCTTCACAAACTTGATTTTGTTCTGTGACAAGGTAACTCGCTTGGTAGATGAAAGTAAGGCTGTCAATGTGGTCTGTCTGGACTTCAGTAGAGCCTTTGACACTCTCCCTCACAACACCCTCATGGAGAAGCTGGCTGCCTGTGACTTGAATGGGCATATGCTTGGCTGGGTGAAACAGTGGCTGGTTGGCCAGGCCCAAAGAATTGTGAAGTTAAATCCAGTTGGTGGCTGGTCATGAGTGGTGTCCCCCAGGGTTTGGTACTGGGGCAATTACTAGTTAACATCTTTATTAATGATCCTGAAACGGGGATGCAGTGCACCCTCAGTAAGTTTGCAGACGACTCCAAGCTGGGAGGGAGTGTTGATCTGCCTGGGAGAAGAAAGGGATAGACTGGATCAATGGGCCAAGGTAAACTGTATGAGCTTCAATAGGGCCAAGTGTCGAGTCCTGCATTTTGGTCACAGCAACCCCGGGCAACCTACAAGCTTAGGGAGGAGTGGCTGGAAAGCTGCCTGAGGGAAAGGGACCTTGGTGTACTGATGGACATTTGGCTGAATATGAGTCAGCAGTGTGCCCAAGCAGCAAGGAAGGCCAAGGGCATCCTGGCTTTTATCAGAAATGTTGTGGTGAGCGGGACTAGGGAAGTAATCCTGCCCCTGTACTCCACACTGGTGAGGCCCCACTTCGAGTACTGCATTCAGTTTTGGGCACCTCAATACAGAAGGGACATGGAGGTGCTGGAGCAGGTCCAAAGAAGGGTAACAAGGCTTGTGAAGGGCTTGAAGAATATGCCCTATGAGGAGAGACTGAAAAAACTGGTGATGTTTTGTCTGGGAAAGAGGAGGCTGAAGAGAGACCTTATTGCTCTCTTCAAATACCTGAAAGGTGATTGCAGCGAGAGAGGGGCTGGTCTCTTCTCACTGGTGACAGGAAGAGGGAAAATGGCCTCAGGTTACCCCAGGGAAGGTTTAGATTGGATACTGAAATAACTTCTTTACTGAAAGGGTTGTTAAGCACTGGAATAGGCTCCCCAGGGAGGTGGTTGAGTCACCATCCCTGAATGTTTAAAAATTGTTCAGATGTGGTGCTCAGAGACATGAATTAGCAGCGGGGACATGATTTAGCAGCGGGTTGTTGGAGGAGTGTGGTTAGGTTGTGCATGGACTTGATGATCTTAGAATAATAGAATCATAGAAACACCAAGGTTGGAAAAGACCTAAAAGATCATCCAGTCCAACCTTTCACCTATTACCTATAGCTCCCACTAAACCATGTCCCTCAACACATCATCCAGCCTTTCCTTGAACACCCCCAGGGTCAGTGACTCCACCACCTCCCTGGCCAGTCCATTCCAGAGCCTGACCACTCTTTCTGAAAAGTAATACTTCCTCATGTCCAGCCTGAATCTCCCCTGCCGTAGCTTGAAACCATTCCCTCTGGTCCTATCACTAATGACACAAGAGAAGAGGCCGACCCCCAGCTCACTACAACCTCCCTTCAGGAAGTTATAGAGAGCAATGAGGTCTCTTTAAGGTCTTTTCCTAACTGAGCAATTCTGTGATTCTATACTCCCACTAGAAGGTCTCCTTCCTCTGCCTTGTCTTTAACCCTAACCCATAAGCTCTCCGCCAGCTCCACATCTATCCCCAAGTGGAGCTCCATGGACTCCAGGTGGTCATTGCTGTAGAGGGCAACACCGCCCTGATGGAATTCCAGGCCCAGGGCATCCATTAACATCATCAGATGGATCCCCTCCCCCAGCAACTCTAGTTTAAGCTCTCCTGATTCAATTGGAAAACTTGCTGCCAAAGCTGGTCTTCCCCTTGTCTGGCAGATGCACCCAATCCTGCCCCAAAAGACCAGATTTCTCAAAGCTAGTTCCATGGCGTAAGTAACCAAAGCCTTATTCATGACACCACCCCCTTAACCATTTATTGATATTCATAATTCTATCAGCCTTTTCCCTTTCCATTTCCCTAACCTGGAAGATTGATGAGAAGATTACTTATGCTCCCAAGTTCTTTGGTGTTGCCTCTAGCTTCTTGTAGTCCCTCTTTATATTCTTCATATTCTTCAGTGACAGCTGTGTCACTGGTGCCTGTGTGAAACAGCAGCAGTGGGTATTAGTCTGTGTGATGTACAAGGTCTGGTAGTCTCTCTGTCACATCCTTGATTCAGGTCCCAGGCAAGCAGCAGACCTCTCTAGATAGCAGGTCAGGATGACTAATGTGTGTCTCTGTACCCTTCAAAAGAGAATCACCCATCACTATCACCTGTCACTTTCTTTTAGTCACAGTAGTTGTTATGTAGGGGGGAGCAGGCCTGGCTGCCTTACTCTGTTCTGACTACTTACCTGTTAGTGTTTCTTTTTCCTTCTCAGCCTGGAGAACTGTGAAGTGGTTCTGCAGAGGCATCTCAGCATTGAGGCAGACTTTTTTCTCGTGTTCATCTTTCTTGTGGCAATTTGCCATCTCTCATCACTGTTGTCTTCCCAGTGAGAATATGCCAGTGGGGGAGTTTTGGGCTGTTTGGTCTAAGACAGTGAATTCAGTATAGGCTCCACGTGAATGCGGCTGACTCTCTATTTCTGCCTCCCTGTTGGCACACAGACTTTTGACTGTCCTCTCAGGTCAGTCAGCTGCTGCAAGAGGTCCTCCACCTGGGCACAGCTTACACACATGAGTTTGCCACTCTCTGCTTCAGGAGAAAGGTCCAGACACTTCCCACAGATCATGGTCTGCACAGATGCATCTTCGTTCAGCTGCTCTGTTTAAGTGGAGTGTCTGGTTACGTTGGGGTTGGTGGTGCATACCCCCTACCAGAGCTGTAGCCTTAGCGTGGAATCAAGTTCTCACTCTACTGCTTTGAGGGTAAGTTGGAGTGAGTGCCCTTCGCTTCTGAAGATTGCAGACTTAGTGCCCTGCCGTGTGACTTACTGCTCTGGCTGTTACAGCACACCATATGTGTACAGGTGACACCCATGCTCTGTTTGCCTGCCCTGCAGGCTAGTCATTGTTTTCACTGAGGCTTCTTTTAGAGGCATGGGTGTGGTCTCCATTGCCCTGGCAATGCCTATGCCACATCAGCCTCTCTCACAAGTGGTGGCCATTGCTGTAGAGTCATTCTGCTTTCTCAGTGTTTCCCTGGCAAAAGAAACCCCTATATCCCTTTGTATCTTGAAATCAGTTGCTCTGGTTCTGGCCAGTCCGGCTCCAAAGCAGCTGCTTTTGATAACTGTCATCTCTTTGCAGTCATACAAGAGGTCACTGACATAATTACACTGAGTGTATATCTTTGCATGGTCAGATAAATGAAACATAAGATACTTAGATCGAATTAAGAAAAAGTCAAAAGCCCAAAACTCTTTCAAAATGCTTGTTCCTATGTTATAAAGACAAAACAAAACATATCTATTAGAACAAATGAACACAGCCTGAGTAAACCATAGAAACTGTTGCAAAAAGATACATACTTCCATCATTGTTTCCTACATCAAGTAAACAGACAGAATCATCTACTTTTTGTTCAAGTTGGAATCAATTAGCTGCAATCTGGAAAACAGTGTTCACTTCCTAAGAGCATTATTCTTTTGACTAAGAGTTGAAGCAGGAGTTTCAAAAATACCAATTAATGATAATGTGGTAACCCTAAGAAATATTGACACATTTTTTGTTCAGTTTCAACTTGAAAGACATTGCACACAGAGAGCTACTTGCTTAGATCTATTCACTGAAGTGCTTATGAAAGAGAAAAGAAGATGTAGTTGCTGTTCTAATGTACATTCAGGTATTCTCTCCCTTTGATATTGAGTGGTTACACTAAGTTATGACATTATTAATCTATGGCAGCAAGGTGGGCCTTTAAATATATATATATATATATATATATATTGCTAAAACCTAGCTGACAGAAGATTCTTGAATAATTTTCAAGGAAAAGAAAAAATGCCTAAAACTTTTTTTTTTTTTTTTTTTTTTTCCCTAGTCATTTAAATACATTTATGGACTACATCTCTCAGAGAAATCTTGATTATGAAAAGAGTAATTTTCATTACAACCTGGCTACTTGAAGAAAGCCAGGATAAAAACGAAATGTTAAAATGCAGGTTATGTTAGATGTTACTTTAGAATTTCAGAAAAATGAGAAATAATCAAATGTGTCAAATAATACACAGCATGCAAGAGCCAATTGTGGAAATAAGCGCCCAAGGTTAGATTGCTAAAATATTTTTAATGCAATAAATATTAAAATCAATGTATTCCTTGTCCAGTATGTGGTTATCACAAGAATTAAAGAGCTCAATTTTTTTTTGTAATCACCGTCTAACTGTTCTGTTATAAGACCTACATTTCCCTGTAGGACTTAACTTCCTATAGGACTGTAACTGCAAAGACCTCCAAAAGTCCAAATCTGCTTTGAACATTTGTGTAACTTGATTAAGAGATCAAAGGTGGAACAATTAGTTTTTGTACACGTTCAGTTGAAAATAAGTGACAAAATAAACTCATATTGCTGCAGCACTTTGCAGAAGAAAACCTTTCTGTCGAGCGTACCTCACTTCATTCTAATGGAAGCTTAAAAGTGCTGTACTGTAATTACATGTGTTTAGGCTATAAATCTCTAAAAAACAAACAAACAAACAAACAAACAAAAAAAACATAGCTCCCATTCCATTTTTATTTTTTGCTATTATTTCCACTTGAACTGTCATTTTGTTTTATCTGAAAAGCTATATATAATGAAAATAGACAATGTTTTAGCACAAAAAAATTCAGCTAAATTTCAGATATCATTCAGTTTTTTTAAAATCTAGGCAGATTTGCTGCTTAAGTAATGCTACAGAAAATACATTACTGTATTCAACATGAATTTAAATGTTTATTTTAAGGACAAATATTATATTCTATTTTACTAAACCTTTATTTTTGTAATTAATTTGTTTATTTTGTATGTATTTTGACAATAAACTTTTAAGTGGATGAATTATATCAAAATGCGCCTTTTGTTTTTCTTCTCCCAGATTTCTAGTGGACTGACACCTGTAACCACTAACTCCAATGACAAGGTTCATCTAGTCTTGTCACTTTCTCCTTATTTAGCCATTTACTCTGCAAATATAATTAAAATGTAACACTTTCAAGCTCAGAAAAAAAATAAAATAATGAGCAGACCTGGTTTAGTTTTACTAGCCTCTAAATGATATGTAAAGAATAATCAGTAATTCATTAAAATATATAAGAATCAGAAGACATAGATATCCACTGTATTAATTTTAAATAGATCTCAGTGTGTGGAATAATATTATTACCTGGTCTCATAAAAACATCTCCAGCATTAGGTAAGAGAGCAACTTAAAATTGCCATATTTGATTTTGTTAGTTTAATATTTTTGCCAGAATTGCTGTATTCTACAGTTCACTGGAGTTATATTAGTACCGAATCACAGAATCATAGAATTGTGGGGGCTAGAAGGTCATCGAGTACAATGCCCCTGCAAAGCAGGTCCCCCAACAGCAGTCTGCACAGGTAGGTGTCCAGGTGGGTCTACAGTATCTTCAAAGAAGGAAAATCCACAGCCCCCTGGGCAGCCTATTCCAGTGCTTCATCAAAATGTATTAGACACTAGGAGAATACCTGTAAAGCAAACATTTGTTTTTCTTGTTTTCTATTTATTTATATATATATATATATATGCATATATATATATATATATATATATATATATATATATATATATATATA